CTTGTTTATGTACCCAACAAAATTAAATGTTATCAAACATGGCAAGGGGTGAAGCATAACAAAACTACCTATCTAGGCAAGTTTAAATGAGGCCGGAAACAACGAACAACAAGTCCGGAAACTCCTCATGTGCATAATAATGAATTAGATACTGTTCTGCCCTAAACACAATTTTAGGGTTGTTAAACATGCAAAGTGATGCCACCATGTTAAACTAGACATTTTTCTACCCCATTTACATATAAAGTTTGTTAGGTTTGGAGCTACGGTTATTAAGTTATGAAATAAATCATTTTAGCATGTCATAAGAGCAAATTTAAACAAACACCATTTTAAACATTTTAAACATGGATGAAAGTGGCATATTGTGAAACTTGACACAATTTTAAGCATTTTTCATATATAAATTGTTTTAATCCGATGCACGGTTGTGGAGATATTAAATGCATGAAGTTAGAGGGTTTTTCTGCAAAACTATAAAGCCCTGGAAAAAGACAAATCACAGAAGAGAAAAAAAACCAGAGATGGGCCGAATCGGACTGGGCTAAAAGTGCACAGGGGGGTTTGCTCACAGCGCTCCAGGGAGCTGGACCTTGGCGCCTCGGTGCTGGGCCGGCCTTGTTGGAGGAAGCTCTTGGGCCGGGGCGAGGCAAGAGGAGGCCCACGCGTGGGCGCTGCGGCATCGTGCTCGGTCAACGCGAGGCACAGGCGAGCGGGCAAACTACTCGCTCTGTAGAATAGCGACAGCAACAGGTAAAACAGGGGACGTCCCGCCGCGGCGGCAGGGACTTGACGAGACGTCCTCGACGGGGACCTGTCGGGAACTGGCCGTAACGGGACGGAGTTGGTCGCCGGCGACGGATCCAGGCTGGATCCAGGCGGGCGTGGCGGCAAGGGCTCTTGAACGGCGGACTTGGCGACGGGGATGGCGAAGATGCAGGCAGCAGAGACGAGCGGGTCCAGGGCGGGTCGGTGAGGAGGCTTCGGAGATGGCCGGATCAGGCCAGCAGGCGCGGCGGCGCGATGCAGAACAGCGCACGAGCTCCGGCAAACGGGCAAGGCGGAGGAAGAAGGGCGGCTCAGGCCGGCCGGCGCTCCATGCGGATCCTAGCAGAGAGGCAAGCGCATGGAGAGGGTGAAGGATTAGAAAGAGAGCACGAGAGAGAAAATAAAGGGAAAAGAGGAGGAGAAAAACGAGACGACGGCCTGACGGCGTGCACCGACGAGGCGAGGAGGAGGTCGGGGTCCATCGGGAGGCTTTCATGGCGCTAGCGTGCTCCTGTGAAGAGAGCCACGAGAGGGACGAAGTGAGGGGAGAACCAGAGAGGGAAAAGAGAGGTGCAGGGAGAGAGAGAACTAGGCGGCGAGGGCTCACCTGCTGGTGATGCTTGTCGGCGGAGGGAGAAGGGGATCCGGGAGGATCCCGATGTGGGATTTTAGTGTGGCGGCGGCGGATCCGAGGAGGGAAGGTTGTCGGCTGTGGCTGGTGGTTTTGGATCGGGAGGGTATCCCAAGGAGGAGGAGATAGTGGGCTGGCGGCGGAGGAGGATGGGACAAGATCCCTAGTTTCTAGGGTTTGGTCTAGATTTAGACTAGGGAGTATATATATATAAGGAAAGAGGGAGAGTTTAGGGGCTAATCTGTCTCTCCAAATAAAATCGAGCGGTCAAGAAAAATAGACTAGGAAGTTCAAATGAGAAAACGGTGATGTTTTGTAGATGTTTGGGGATGATGCGGATCCAACGGTGTCGACTGTCCGGGTCGGGTCCGGGACAACTTTCGGGTGCGCGCGCGAGGAGGGTCGCGGGCTGACGAGAGAGGTTAGGTTGGACCTGGCGGTAGGTAGTGGGCTGTGCAGAAGGCCTCAGGCTGAGAGAAGAGAAAAGAAAGAGGCCTGGCGACTGTATCCGGAGACCGAAAACGTCCGACGTTAGACGGACTATATTTCCGCTATAGATAACGGTTGGGCTATCAAATGGACTCCGAACGTGATGAAATTTGACAGGCGGTCTTCCTACACTAAAATAAGACCGCACGCCAACTTTCAACCCATACCGAGAACATTTTCCAGCCACTTATAAAATAATATTTCGAACGTGCCGCGGGCGCGTGCAAGTGTGTCTAGGCTCAGAACGGACAATGGACGGAACTGGGGGAAACCCGGACGGATGCAGGTTTTGAAAACAGATGATGCAATGCACATGATGATATGATGAAATGCAACACGCAAGCAAATGACAAGGCAACAACCACGAATAACTGGAAGACACCTGGCGCATCGGTCTCGGGGCGTCACAACCTGTTTTTCCCTTTGCCAAACTTCCTGTGTCCATCGCTGAACCACCATCCATGCATTCATCCTCTATTGCTTCTGACCAATTTGATGATGTTGCATACTCTCCTACATTGCTACCTAACCATGATGGAGGCACTGGACGTGGGGCTCGTTTGGAAATTTTAGAGGCGCCATCGCCTCCTTCGTCTGCACCACCAGTCGTGCACGATGACCCTATGGCATCCTTGCATGGCCTCGGTACCCCGTGCCCATGCACGACCGGTCGATGTCCCGGCGCTCTCGCCTGCTTCGTTGCCCGTTCGGCCCGCGACGCCGGCCACGCCAACGACGCCTGGGCCGGTCTCGCCCGTCCCTATCTCATCGCCCACGATGACTGGGCCGGCCTCGCCCGTCCTTGCCTCGCCGCCCACGTCGACTGGGCCAGCCTCGCCTGCCCTCGCCTCGCCTACGGCGTCTGGGCCTCTGTCACCCAGGCCGGCCTCTCCCGAGCTGTCTTCAGCACCATGCAACCCGGGGTCGCCTGGCACTAGGACTTCTCCATCGCCCAGCTCGGCGGCTACTGGCTCCTCTGGCGCCGCTCCATCGTCGTCCTCGATGTCGCTGGCTCCTGCTGCCCTCGTGCTTGGCATGCTCGTCTTGCAATGGCCCTTCGTGCTCATGGTTTTGCATCGTCCACTGCTGACTCCTCACTGTTTCTTCTACATAGGCCTGAGGTCTACATAGGCCTGAGGTTACTATGTACTTATTGGTCTATGTGGATGATATTATTCTGGTCAGCTCCTCTCAGTCGGCTGCTACTGCTCTTGTTCATTCGCTTGGTGCTGATTTTGCGGTCAAGGACCTTGGGAAGCTTCACTACTTTCTTGGTGTGGAGGTCACTTCTCGGGCTGATGGTCTTGTTATGACGCAGAAGAAGTACTCCTTGGATTTGTTGCAGCGGCTGGGATGCTCAAGTGCAAACCGACGACTACACCCATGTCTACCACTGACAAGATCACTGCTGTTGATGGTGAGCTTTTGTCTTCTGCTGATGCGACAGAGTACATGAGTATTGTTGGTGGTCTTCAGTACTTGACGATTACCCGACCTGACATCTCTTTTGCTGTTAACCGAGTCTGCCAGTATCTGCAGTCACCCCGTGATACTCATTGGTCTGCTGTTAAGCGTATCTTGCGCTACATTCGATTCACGGTGTCTCACGGACTGCATATTCGACCGACCTCCTCTAGATGTCTCTCAACATATTCTGATGCGGATTGGGCTGGCAATCCAGATGACAGGCGATCTACGGGGGGTTATGTTGTGTTCTTTGGCTCTAATTTGATCGCCTGGAGTGCTCGGAAACATGCCACTGTCTCACGTAGCAGTACTGAAGCTGAGTATAAGGCTGTGGCCGATGCCACTTCGGAGATTATCTAGGTACAGTCTTTGCTTCGGGAATTGGGTATATCCCAACCACAGTCTCCTGTCCTTTGGTGTGATAACATCGGTGCTACATACCTCTCTGCAAATCCGTTATTCCATGCCCGAACGAAACACATTGAAGTTGACTATCACTTTGTGCGTGAGCATGTCTCTCAGAAGCAACTACAGATCAAGTTCATCTCTTCCAAGGATCAACTTGCAGACATCTTCACCAAGCCATTGCCTCTACCACAGTTTGAGGCTTGTCGGCGCAATCTTACCCTTCTTGATTCTTTAGGAAGTGGCTAAGATTGAGGGAGGGTGTTAGACTGTATAGCCTCTGTATTTACACGTGTATATTGTAACGTTGTATACCATCTCATTATATATATGTGATAGGCCACCCCTAGAGGGTTGTGCCGGTTCCCCCAAACCTATTGTCTTACATATTGAAAAGCACTTTCCAGTGGTGTCGGGTTGTATAAAATAGATAGTAAAAGTTAAATCTTCAAAATCACGTGCACCTTGTATTTCTTGACGGAGGGAGTATATAGTTAGGAAAGATTAACTTAAATATGAAGATAGAGATATGGTTTAGTAGGAAAGTGATGATTCTGTTTTTGGCGTTCAAGTCGATTCTTCCCTATAAAGGGATACCATGTAGGCTTCATCAGTTAAGTGATGAGAAGGTTAAACTACTAGTAAAGATCTAATCCCAGATTCCGAGTATCTGCCTTCATCCCTCTCATCTCCAGCGCCGTGGCTGGCCTACCCTCTCTGTTCAGAGCCATACCCCCCAGCCCTGTCTTGTTCACTGGTCTTAAAATTGACACCAAGTCTAGCACGTGAGAAAGAAACCTGTTCCCTTTGTTTAGATTCATTTGCCCTGCTCTTTCTTTCATTTACTAGTCTAGGTGGATCTATTATGATTCCCGTCTTTCCACTTGATATACTCCTAGATTATTGGAACATCGACATCTTTATGCGTTAATAGTCTTCTCATGAGGTGGCTTATGACTCCTTCTCTTGACTAAATGACTGACTTTGCAATCGTGGTGCAAACAGTACATACTTCCTTTCTTTTTTGACAGCTTGTCTGCTTTTGAAATGTGCTTTGTACGATCTGTCTTTTATATGATAAGATGCTGCGGGCATCTCACCTGCGCACTCACTATGTTGTCTTTACTTGATCAATCATCTTAATGTATTTATTATGTATACTTTGACTGGCTATGCATGTATAAAAGGCTTCAACCTTCGAAGTGGCAGGGACACAAAAACTCAACCCACAGATAGGGGGATGGACGAGGCCATTGTGTGTGCAACACATGGAGCCATGGGCTCCGTGCTACGGAAGCTGGGTGCTTTGCTCTCTGATGAGTATAAACTTCTCAGAAGTGTGAAAGGTGATGTCATGTTCCTTAAAGCTGAGCTTGAGACCATGCATGCTTTTCTCAAGATGATGTCCGAGGTTGAGGATCCTGATGAGCTGTCCAAGTGTTGGATTAAGGAGGTACGAGAGCTGTCCTATGACATCGAGTATGGCATCGACAGTTTCATGCTGTCCCCGTGTGGCGAGTCCAGCCGCAAACCCTGTGGCTTCAAGGGACGCCTCAGCAGGTGCATGGATATAATGACAAATTCCAAGACGCGCCATTGCATTGCCAAGAAAATCAAAGTTCTCAAACAAGATGCTATTGAGGTTAGCAGTCGGTGGGCGAGGTACAAGGTTGACGATGTAGTCTCCAAGCCGAGCAGGATAAGCATAGATCCCCGCTTACCAACATTTTTCACCGAGATGACGAGGCTCGTTGGCATTGATGGCCCAAAGGATAAACTCATCAAGTTGCTAACTGAAGGGGAAGTTGCAATTGCACAGCAGCTAAAGGTGGTGTCCATTGTTGGAATTGGGGGCCTTGGAAAGACTACTCTTGCTAATCAAGTGTACCAGAAGCTGGAAGGGCAATTTGAATGTCAAGCTTTCGTGTCGGTGTCCCAAAAACCCGACTTGAAGAGGATTTTGAGAAATATACTCTCTCAAATCTGCTGTCAAGAGTGTGTCAGCAACGAAGAATGGGATGAGCAGCAACTCATCAACACAATAAGACAGTTCCTCAAGCATAAAAGGTGTGCCTTATTTACTCATAACAATCTTACTTCGGAAATGTCATCACTAATTTATTATACATTCATATGAACTTTGTGTTAGTGCTACATCAGCTTTATCTGTAGGATAATATATGTACACTATTCTTACTAGTAGTTACTAGTACTAGTTACTAGCACTACTGCTATTCACTGGTTGCAGCTCTAGGAATACATGTTCTAATTTGTAAAGTTTGTGATAGGTACTTCATAGTAATGGATGATATATGGGGCACCCCAGCATGGAGAGCAATCAAATGTGCTTTTCCTGAAAATAGTTCTTCCAGCAGAATACTGACAACTACACGTATCGTCACAGTAGCCAAGTATTGTAGCTCTCAGAACCGTGATCATGTGTATGAAATAAAGCCTCTTAGTGCAACTCACTCTAAGAGCTTATTTTTCAAACGAGCATTTGGCTGTGAAGGTGGATGCCCTCTTCAACTGAGGGAAGTTTTAGATGAAATATTAAAAAAATGTGGCGGCTTGCCGTTGGCAATCATTACAGTAGCTAGCTTATGGTTTCCCGGCTGAGTTTTACAAGAAGTGTTGGCATATTATCAAAGGGGACCTGATGCCAATGTTCCATGATTTGTTCTCGGGACACTTGCAGCTGTTCCAACTGAATTTTGGCACGATAACGTTGTTGCCTAAGAAAACTGATGCCGTCAAAATTGAACAATTTCGGCCGATCTGCCTGCTCAATGTCAGCTTCAAAATTTTTACCAAGGTTGGTACGATAAGGCTGACTCAGATAGCGCACGCTGTTGTTCAACCTACGCAAACGGCTTTCATGCCGGATAGGAACATCCTAGAGGGGGTTGTGGTCCTACATGAAACGCTTCATGAAATTCATACGAAAAAAATAGATGGGGTTATTTTCAAAGTGGATTTCGAGAAGGCTTATGATAAAGTCAAATGGCCGTTCCTCCAGCAAGCTTTAAGAATGAAGGGTTTTGATGAGCGCTGGAGGCATCAGGTGGAAACGTTCACGCAAAAAGGTAGCGTTGGCATTAAGGTCAATGATGACATAGGCCACTATTTCCGAACACACAAGGGTCTGCGACAGGGCGATCCTATGTCACCTATTCTGTTCAATATTGTGGTTGATGTGTTAGCGATCCTGATTGGGAGGGCCAAAGAGGCTGGTCAGGTGGAGGGAGTGGTGCCTCATCTGGTTGATGGTGGTTTATCCATCCTGCAATACGCTGACGATACAATCATTTTTATGGAACATGATTTGGCCAAGGCGAGGAACATGAAACTAGTATTATGCCTTTTTGAACAATTGTCTGGGCTGAAGATTAATTTCCATAAAAGTGAGTTGTTCTGTTTTGGTAGAGCCAAAGACGAACAGGAAGCTTATACACAATTGTTCGGATGTGAGAGTGGGTCTCTTCCTTTCTCTTATCTCGGTATTCCAATACACCATCGTAAGTTAACGAATGCTGAATGGAAGACCATCGAGGATAGATTTGAGAAAAAACTAAGTAGTTGGAAAGGAAAACTCATGTCTTATGGAGGCCGGTTGATTCTCATTAACTCGGTGCTCACGAGTTTACCTATGTTTCTGCTATCTTTCTTCGAAGTACCAGTTGGGGTGAGGAAGAGACTAGACTTTTATCGGTCTCGCTTCTTCTGGCAGAGTGATGAATCTAAGAGGAAGTATAGATTGGCCAAATGGGATATTATTTGCAGACCAAAGGACCAAGGAGGACTTGGCATTGAAAATCTTGAAGTTAAAAATAAGTGCCTCCTGAGTAAGTGGCTGTTTAAGCTGTCTTCTGAGACAGAGGCAACATGGGCGCAGATTTTACGGAGTAAATATCTGTACTCAAAGACTTTATCCCAAGTCACTATGAGACTTACAGACTCGCCGTTCTGGAAAGGGCTAATGAGGGCTAAATCCACTTTCTTTAACAGAACGAAATGTATTGTTGGTAATGGAGCTGATACGCGATTCTGGGAGGATACGTGGCTGGGTGACACGCCTCTGGCTTCTCAGTATCCAGCGCTGTATCGTATTGTTCAGCATAGGGATGCCCTTGTGGCCACAGTAATGCAGACGATTCCCCTTAACATCCAGTTTAGAAGAGTGCTTGCTGGACCGAGATGGGAAGCATGGCTTCACTTGGTCCGTAGGCTGATGGAGGTGCAGCTAAATCCTCAGCCCGACCAGTTGTATTGGAAGCTAACTAGAACTGGGGTGTTCACGGTCAAGTCTATGTATCTTGATATCATTAATTCATCCGTGATACCTACGTCCAATGTAGTCTGGAACGTTAAGGTTCCTTTGAAGATTAAAGTGTTTATGTGGTTTGTGCATAAACAGGTAATTCTTACAAAGGACAATCTAGTTAAGCGCAACTGGACAGGATCTACTAGGTGTAGCTTCTGTGATCGGGATGAGTCTATCAAACATTTATTTTTTGATTGCCCGTTGGCACAAGGGTTGTGGCGCACCGTGCAAATTGCCTTTAATATTACTCCACCGAGATCGGTAAACACGCTTTTTGGGGCGTGGTTGCTCGGGACGGAGCCCGAAACAGCCAGACAAATTCGTGTAGGAGTATGTGCGTTATTATGGGCAATTTGGAACTGCAGGAATGACTTGGTTTTTAACAGGACATCAAATACTCATTTTTTGCAGGTGTTGTTCCGGGCTACGGCGCTGATCCGTACTTGGTCCTTACTCACTCCGACGGAGGCCAGGGAGCGTTTGGTTACTGGATCTGTCCGGTGGGAGACGGTTGCGCGGGATATCTTCAACCGGTTTGGATGGCGATCATGTAATAGGATAGGCATCTAGTTTACCTACCTCATATTATGCCAGCCGGTTTGTGGCTTTTCCCGTTTGTGTCTTTTAGTCGTTGCTCTGTGTGAGCTACGTGCTACCTTTTTTCATTTGTTTGTAAGACTTATGTTCTGAACCTCTTTATTTCATTAATAAGAGAGGCCGTATGCATCGATCTGATGCAGAGGCCGGGGTAAACCCCCTTTTCCAAAAAAAAAAAAACCAGACAAGAATAGCTGAGAATACGGAATTCTCTTGGTTCAGCACTTGAAAAGGATTTAGACATGGAAGAGATGACGAAGATATTGTTTCTTAGTTACAATGATCTCCCCTACCATTTGAAGACATGTTCGCTATATCTAAGTATATTCCCTGAAGATTATGTGATCAAGAGGGATCAGCTGGTAAGGAGATGGATCGCGGAAGGTTTTATCATTGTAGAAGGTGGACAGAATCTGGAGGAAGTAGGAGAAGGCTATTTCAGCGATCTGATAAACAGAAGCTTGATTGAACCGGTTGAAATCCAGTATGATGGTCGAGCTGATGCTTGTCGTGTCCATGATATGATTCTTGACCTAATTATATCCAAGTCAATTGAAGAAAATTTTGTAACCTTATCTGGTGACAGCAAACATAACTCACTTCCATATGATAAGGTTCATCGACTATCCCTGAACTATCATGCTCAAGAACATACTATGGTACCATCGAACATGGTTGTTTCTCATGTTAGATCCCTCGCTATCTTTGGATGTGCCGAAGCTGAACACATGCTTTCTCTTTCAAACTTTCAATCCGTAAGTGTTAGATATAGAAAATAGAGAGGTGTTGGAACACAAATATCTTGAACACATAAGCAGGCTTTCTCAGCTGAAGTACCTTCGACTCAATGTTAGAAGAATCACAGCACTTCCTGAACAACTTGGAGAATTGCAGAATTTACAGACCTTAGACTTAAGATGGACATGGGTAAAGAAGTTGCCCGCTAGTATTGTTCAACTACAGCAACTGGCATGTCTGTTAGTTAAGAGCGCAGAGTTGCCCGAAGGGATTGGGAATATGCGAGCTCTACGGGAATTATCAGAGATTGAAATCAACCAGAATACCTGTCTGACCTCTTTGCAGGAGCTGGGCACTCTGACCAAACTAAGAATACTTGAGCTGAACCTGAATTGGCACATAAGTAGTACAAACAGTGGCATGAAAGCTTGTGTAGATAACTTGGTCATGTCCCTCTGCAAACTAGGCACGCTCAACCTTCGTTCGATACATCTTCAGAGCTACCATTCTTGTTCCCTTGATTTCTTAATTGACTCTTGGTTTTCTCCTCATCTACTCCAGAGATTTGAGATGAACATTAACTACTATTTCCCCAGAATCCCAAAGTGGATAGTCTCACTTGACCACCTCTCTTACCTCAGCATCAATGTCAATCCAGTGGATGAGGAAACATTCCGAGTCCTTGGTAACCTGCCTTCTCTGTTATTTCTCTGGATATCTTCAAGAACAGCAAGGCCTAAAGAAAGGCTCATTATCAGCAGCAATGTATTCCGATTCCTGAAGGAATTCTACTTCACTTGCTGGGACAGCGGGACAGGGCTGGTATTTGAAGCAGGAGCCATGCCTGAACTTGAGAAGCTCCGGGTTCCATTTAATGCGCATGATGTGTTCCCTTTGAGTGGTGGTCTTGATTTCGGCATACAGAACCTCTATTCGCTCAAGCATCTCCACATTGAGATAGTTTGTTATAGCGCGAAGGTTAGGGAGGTGGAGGCCTTGGAGGATGCCGTCAAGAATGCAGCTGGCTGTCTTTCAGATGAGCTCACTCTTGAAATGAGTAGATGGGATGAAGAGGAAATTGTTGAGGATGGGGATCATAAACTGGCAGAGTAGGTTGATTCCGACTTTTGAGTGCATAACACATCACCGAGGTACTATTCATTCTCGTAGGCCACAATTGCTGTATATTTCAGATATATTACTGTTTGGGGCACTTAGAGGGGTAGAGACTGGAGTAGGCATGTAGGATGGGCATGGAAACCACATACAATTTGTGTTCTAAAATTTTGGATATACTAGATGATTTCCCCGCGTGTTGCTGCGGAAATTTAAAGATTGATTTTGGATGAATTATTTATGAACGAATGACCTAGATCATGAGGTTTGCCACTGTTTGTTCTCCCCTTCTATCAATGGAATGATACGCTCCGCGCATATTCGCAAAAAGAAAAAAAGCTATTACTTTCGGAAGTAATTGTGTGTGAAAAAAGTATGCAAGTACGCTGGACCATTGGAGTTGCAACAATTATGTTGGGGTATGCATGTGCTACAAAATATTGTTAGTGGATGACGACGTGGCTTATTTGGTGATGTGAAGAGCTGCATGTTGAGAGAATTGGATGAATTATGTATGAATGAATGACCTAGATCATGAGGTCCGCTACTATTTATTCTCCCCTTCTATCAATGGAATGATACTCTCCACGCGTATTCGTGAAAAGAAAAAAAAATTATTACTTTCGGAAGTACCTGTGTGTGAAAAAAAATACGCATGTATGCTGGACCATTGGAGTTGCAACAATGATATTGGGTATGCATGTGCTACAAAATATTGTTAGTGAATGATGACGTGGCTTATTTGGTGATGTGGAGGGCTGCATATTGAGAGAATTGGATGAATTATGTATGAACGAATGACCTAGATCATGAGGTCCGCCACTGTTTGTTTCCCCCTTCTATCAATGGAATGATATGTTTTGCGCGTATTCGTGAAAAGAAAAAAAGCTATTACTTTCTAAAGTAATTGTGTGTGGAAAAAAGTATGCATGTACGCTGGACAATTGGAGTTGCAACAATTATATTAGAGTATGCATGTGCTACAAAATATTGTTAGTGGATGATGACGTGACTTATTTGGCGATGTGGAGGCTGTATATTAAGAGAAATAGAGTTAGTAGAAATAAACTATTTAGATATATAGGACATGATTACTGTTCAGCGACCTTTATCTTCCATCTTTCTTGGGTTTTTGCAGCTCTCTTGCCGACGAAGCCTACTAGTTTCATAGGATCGTGTACATGAACCTGCACAATTGTATATGGACCACTGTCATAGGAGATTTTGAGTAAATGCAGAATAATTCTTTGTTAACTGCTATTACAGATTCAGTAAATGCAGCCAATTAGTTTGTAGGGGACTATATCCCCCTTAATGTTTTGGTTTTTTGAAAAGAGTCTGTCTAGGACACATTTAAATGTGACATAATTATGTCACATCTAACCTGATATCCACTATGTTTATGGTTTATTTTTATTTTTGCTTCAGTTTTTTTATTCATAATTGCTGCATTATTTGTGGAATGTTAAATATGACATACTTAAAAAACAGCTAGATGTGAATTACACAAACTGTTTTGATAAAGGTTCATGTTTTAAATAGGATAACACTATTGCTCACACGTGTGATGGGAGCGAAACCAGCCCACACATTCTATAATACACAGACTACGTCACGTCACCGCATGCATGCATGTGAGAATCTTTTTGGATTTTGGCTTTTAAAATGTTTTATCTCTTAAATGAAAAATCTGATTGAAGATCCGTTTTCACCATCAAATCCCTCGCGACGAGATCTTCGAAACTAGATCTCATATTGTAACGCCCGGGTAATTAAGCTACAGTAATCCCACGCTAATGGTGCCACGTGATCACGGTTACTATTGTTAACCTTGCGATGATTCGAAACCGTTTCAAAATTCAAATTCGAATTAATGTCAACAATAAAAGTTTTTCAAACATTAAAATAAAAATGTTCGGTTTGTACTAAATATTACATAGATAAATATGGTGTAGTAAACAAATTTTTATAAAATGTCTAAATAGTTTAAAATGATTTAAAATAGAAAAGTAAATAAATAAATAAATAATACAAAAGAGAAAACCAAAACTAACCAAAAAAAAACTAAGAGGAAGCACCCCCCACTGGGCTCCGGACCAGCTGGCTTGCCCAACTGGGCCAAGGCCCACCCCCACTCCTCCCGTGCCCCGAACCCCACCGACACTCCCCCCCTCTCCAAAATATCTCCCCCCTCTCCCTCGATTGGATCGGGATCGAGGGAGGAGGTCGCTGCCGCCGCCGCCCGGATCGTCCATGGCC